GCAAGATAAATAAAAAATATATCCAAAAACACGAAAAAGAATTTTCAATGGGGAAAATACTAACAAAAGTAGTAGTAATAGTAGTGACAGTAGTACAAACAGGGCTCTACCTAACCTCTGAGATCGCACGCTCATAATACCCATAGTAAGCAGAGAACCACGTGCGTGAGTTTGACCCGAAAAAAAAAACCGACGAGAAGCAACGTGATCGCGCCGCCACCGGGTATATAACAACGAGAACTCATCGTCACGAAAACAGTTCGTGAGAGCTCAAGCAGTCAACATCGGTCAAGACTAGCAAACAACAAGAACATTTTTTTTTATCGTGAGCATCGTGCAAAACAAGTACAGTCGTGCGTCGCCGAGGAATAAAACCGCGTGCATTGTACAACTAAAAATCGTGAACCACGTGCACCATGCAGATAAAAATTAATTAATTAAACATTCGCGGCTGGCATTTCAAACGAAAAACAACACAGTAGTCCGTGGTCATCGAAACAATATTTGAAATTTTTTTTGTGTGCCATCGTCGAGAATCTAAACGTCACGCGTATATACCCTCACGTAATGGGTGTCAAGTGGATCTCGTATCGTCGGAAACAGGAACTCGAGACCCTGACCGCCGCGTTCGGGCTAAGTAGCGTTGGAACCGTCGAAGAATTACGCCAACGACTCAGCGAATTTTCGAAGCGGGAGGATCTGTCGCCAGAAACGCAAGGACAATTGGCGAAAATGGAAGCGGCATACGGGAATGCCGTTACTCCCGACCAAAAATCGCCGCTTGCCGTCATGGTTGAACCTACGGGCGAAAAGGTATCGGGCGACTGCAGGAGTCACACCCTCCAGCTGCCACGGACCAATTCGGCTCCTAATTTGGTGTCGCTGCTACAAGCAGACGAACGTCGTAGCGCGCGACCAGAAGGCACCTCTTGCGCCACATTGGTAGACAAGATGGCCCGATGGGGGCTTACTTTTGATGGATCTGGCGACCCACTCCGATTTATGGAACACATGGAAGAAAGAGCAGCCACGTATCAGGTCGATCTAAGGGCCCTACCCCAGGCAATGCCAGTGCTCCTAACCGGAAGGGCAGAGAGCTGGTTCCGAACGAGCAGACTGCAGGGCACGACATGGAAAACTTTTAAGAAGGAGTTTCTGGAATTTTTCTTACCACCACTGTACTTCCAAAGGCTGGAAAACCAGATACGGACGCATACACAGAGACCAGGTGAGCTGTTCAAATTCTACTTGATCGACCTCCGCATACTCATGCAACGAGCGGGATACACCATGGCGCAAGAACTGGAGCGCGTGTACGAAAATATGTTGCCGGAGTACCAACTGTACACACGGCGTCAGGATTTTCACACGTTAGCCGAGCTGACACAACTAGTGGTAAACTTCGAGATCGTAAGAAGTCGAGGACAAGGAAACCAAATGGGTAATCAGGAACGCGAAGGATTTAGTGCACCCCACCGAGGATCTACAGGTGGTCCGATAGCTGTACACACACCCTCAAACCCGGAGGGGCCGAACGGACCAGGTGCCGAGATACAGCATGGGACCATAATGCCGGAATCAGAATCAGACTACAGCAGGGTAGGATCCAGGCGCAGGTCCGTATCAAAGGAAACGCGTTTAAGGCCACCCTGGATACGGGAGCCACCCGAAGTTTCATTAGCGAACAGCGGGCGGCACAGATCGGACGTGGAAGAGATTGGCGAGAGATTCGCACCCGGATCCGATTGGCGGATGGATCCCATCGAGACCTCACCAGGGGCCTTGTAGTAACCATTCACCTGGGCCAACAGCAGGTAAAACTGTTCTTACTAGTGATGTCCACGGTGCTAGATGACATACTACTGGGAATCGACTTCCTTTGTGGCATCAAGGCCATCAGTAGCTGCGGAGGAGAACACTTGCAATTGGATTCGAGGGCGGAATTGACCAACGAGGAAAATTCGGAAATCTTAGCGAGGAACGACGCACCGAACGAGGAGTGCGTGGCTGCTCCTTCTGGAATCCGGCGACGCAACGAGGAAAATCTGGAAATTTCAGCAAGGAACGACGCACCGAACGAGGAGTGCGTGGCTGCTCCTTCTGGAATCCGGCGACGCAACGAGAAAAAACTGGAAATTTCAGCGAGGAACGACGCACCGAGCGAGGAGTGCGTGGCTGCTCCTTCTGGAATCCTGCGAAGCAACGAGGAAAACCCGGAAATTTCAGCGAGGAACGACGCACCGAGCGAGGAGTGCGTGGCTGCTCCTTCTGGAATCCTGCGAAGCAACGAGGAAAACCCGGAAATTTCAGCGAGGAACGACGCACCGAACGAGGAGTGCGTGGCTGCTCCTTCTGGAATCCTGCGAAGCAACGAGGAAAATCCGGAAATTTCAGCGAGGAACGACGCACCGAGCGAGGAGTGCGTGGCTGCTCCTTCTGGAATCCTGCGAAGCAACGAGGAAAATCCGGAAATTTCAGCGAGGAACGACGCACCGAGCGAGGTGTGCGTGGCTGCTCCTTCTGGAATCCTGCGAAGCATCGAGGAAAATCCGGAAATTTCAGCAAGGAACGACGCACCGAACGAGGAGTGCGTGGCTGCTCCTTCTGGAATCCGGCGAAGCAACGAGGAAAACCCGGAAATCTCAGCGAGGAACGACGCACCGAGCGAGGAGTGCGTGGCTGCTCCTTCTGGAATTCTGCGAAGCATCGAGGAAAACCCGGAGATGTCGGCGAAGAACGACGCACCGAACGAGGAGTGCGTGGCTGATCCCCCCGGAATATCCAGGAGCAACGAGGACACTAAGGAGACCCCCACAGTCAAACACAGACGACCGAAGCGTGCCAGACGGAATCGAAACCGACACGGAGACCCGATGGTAAGGGAGGCCCAACCTAGCTGGACTTCAGCCTTGCCTACCAGCAGCCAGGCCGCTCGGCAACACAATCCTTTCTGACAAGGACCAGAGACACCTCTACCAACTAGGAAAGTCCGGTTCCGAGAACCAATTGTGGAAAGCGAAGACGGCGTTAGGCCTGACGGATCAACATCAACGGACATCCGAAGGGAGGAAAGCCTAGCCAGCATCGACACCAACACGAGCTTGACAGCGGCACCGGATACCATGGATCCGAGGGTGAGTGGCGGGCACTTCTAATATCGCGGAACATCACATCGTTATGAGGGATGACAAGCCCATTAAGCAGCGATATTACCCTAAAAATCCAGCAATGCAAGCGGTTATAAACAAACAAGTAGATGAACTTTTGCGGGATGGACGGATCGAGCCATCAAAAAGCCCTCATAGTGCACCAATAGTTCTAGTCGGGAAAAAGACAGGCGATATCCGAATGTGCGTGGATTATCGACAACTGAACGCGCGATCAGTCCCCGACGCGTACCCCCTACCCAGAATTCATCACATTCTGGAACGCTTACGGAACGCGCGGTTCATTTCCACTCTCGACCTTAAGAGTGGATACTGGCAAATTCCGGTCGCGCCTGCCAGTCGGGAATACACCGCTTTTACCGTCCCGGGACGAGGCCTCTTCCATTGGAAGGTGATGCCATTCGGGTTACATTCGGCCCCCGCGACGTTTCAAAGAGCTCTCGATAGCGTCATAGGTCCGGAGTTAGAACCTTCAGCCTTCGCGTACTTAGATGACATCATTGTTATCGGCACGACTCTCGACGAACACATCGAAAACCTGCGCGAAGTATTTAGGCGACTCCGGCAAGCTAATCTGAAACTCAACCGAGACAAATGTAGTTTCTTTCAGCGGAGTCTAAAATACCTGGGTCACGTGATAAGCGAGTCAGGGATCCACACTGATCCTGATAAGATCGCCGCGATTCGCGAACTACAACCGCCTACGAATGTCCGTGAATTGCGACGCTGCCTCGGCGTCGCGTCGTGGTACCGCCGTTTCGTCCCGAACTTTGCAGCCATTGTAGAACCGATATCCACACTCCTCCGGAAAGGTAGGAAATGGAGTTGGGACACGGAGCAGGAGCAAGCTTTCGAGACTCTAAAAACCCGACTCACCGAAGCCACAGTACTTGCGTGCCCCGATTTTACGCAGAAGTTTTCCCTGCAAACCGACGCTAGCGATCACGGGTTAGGAGCAGTCCTACTACAAAGCATCGACGAGGTGGAACGGGTCATAGCTTATGCCAGTCGACGATTAACCCGAGCCGAGGAAAATTACTCGGTAACAGAAAAGGAGTGCCTCGCGATCGTATGGGCCATTCGCAAAATGCGTTGCTACTGGAGGGATATCGGTTCGAAGTCGTGACGGACCATCTGGCTCTTAAATGGTTAAACTCAATCGACAACCCAACCGGACGAATCGCCAGATGGGCCCTCGAACTACAACAATATCAGTTCGACGTTCAGTATCGACGAGGGAAATTCAACATAGTAGCCGACGCTCTTTCCCGTCAGCCCTTGGACTGTACAAGCCAACGTAGAGCCATCCCAATGCAAATGGGTGCGCAAGATGATACTTCAAGTGACTCAGGAACCGGGAAAATTCCCGGACTACCGGATCGAAGGAGGCCAGCTGTATCGAATGACGGGGAATACACCCCAGGAGGAATACCAGGTTCCGTGGAAGCTAAGTATTACTGGCCAGGACTCTTCAGGGAAGTCACCAAGTACGTACGCCGATGCCCCACCTGCCAAAAATACAAGGTAAGCCAACTTAAACCCGCCGGCCGGATGTATACACGCCAAGTCGAAGAACCGTTCAGCGTAGTATGTGCAGACTTCATGGGCCCATTTCCCCGTTCCCGTTATGGAAATACCATGCTACTGGTATTTTTGGATGCATTCACCAAATGGGTAGAATTAATCCCACTCCGGAAAGCGACGACACCCCATCTCGAACGAGCGTTCCGGAATCGAATTTTGAGTCGCTTTGGCGTCCCACATACATTCGTATGTGACAACGGGACCCAGTTCACCAGCCGTTCGTTTAAGACGTTCTGCAAAAACCTTGGGATGGAACTTCAGCACACAGCTCCCTACACTCCACAGCAGAACCCAACGGAGAGGGCAAACAGGACCATAAAAACAATGCTGGCCCTGTACTTGGATGGAGCACAACAAAACACCTGGGACGAGCTACTCCCCGAACTTTCACTGGCCATAAACTCAAGCGTTTCAGACACCACAGGATTTAGCCCCGCCTTCATCGTGCAAGGGAGGGAACCGAGACTACCCAATACATTGTTCGATCAAGCCACGCCGACTCACACGTCAAATCAGCCACCACCAGGAAAGAAGGCAGAACAGATGCAGGAATTGTTCCGGATCGTCAAAGACAACAGCGAGCGAGCGTCCAACGAACAAAGACGGCACTACAATCTCAGACGCCGGGAATGGCGACCGGCCGTGGGATCACTGGTACTCCTCCGCCGCCACGTACTATCCAAGGCTTCAGAGGGATTCACTGCAAAGCTGGCGGCCAAATACGATGGACCATACAAGGTTCACAAGTTCCTGTCTCCTAATCTTTTACAATTACAGGTGCCTGGGAGTCGACGACGACGCACAGCCGGACTAGGGGACGTAAAGGAATACCATTACGAGGATACCGACGACGACGAGCCACCCGCTGCCGCCGAGGGGACCAAGTCTTGAGAAAAGGGGGCCACTTGCTGGTAGTCGCGACTACCCAACGTCCCTCCCCATCGAGGGGAACTCAATGACTGGCCACTCAAAACTTTTTTTTATTATTTACTATCACTAAAACCTTGTTAGACTAAGAAAACACGAGTTACATAGGAAGGAGCTAGGCTTAGTTTAGTCATTCGCACTCATAGGGATATCACATATTTAAGATATACTAAGTTTCTTTACCCGCAGTGCCATGAGTTCAAGAGACCCGAGACGCCCAGTGACGGGTACCGTAGATACAGACGACGATGTGGAGATGCAGGAGGCACTGGACAACTCAATACGAGACCTCCTGAGCGATCCACTCTGGGAACCAGACCAGCTGATCCTGGAGGCTGAGGCCACCGGCCTCTCCCTGGATGATGTCCTCGACCTCTGCGTCGCACCAGGGGACCCGCTGGGCGATGGAGACGTCGAACCAGACGGCAGATTTGGGAGCTACCGCAACCCGAGCCCGCCACGGCAGCGACCCCCTGCTGACGTCGCAGCACCAACTACTGCCAGCGATGCAACGAGCGAGACATCAAGCGGCACCATCCCAGGCAGTTCGGGCGGATCCTCACGCGACGCCTTGCTACCCGGATCCAGCGGATCCTCTGGCGACGCGCTGCTACCCAGCTCGGGTGATTCATCTGGCGACGTGCTGCTACCCAGCTCGGGTGATTCCTCCGCCGAGGTCACACTGCCCAGCAGGTCTGACAGGGACGCCATGCTGCCCTCCAACAGGGAAGTGGCCAGGACGACCGTTGAGATGCCCAACCCACCACCACGGTACGAGGACATCTCCAGTGCCGACGAGACGGAAACCACGGCCCGGTCGTTCGCCACAGCGCGTTCCGAAACAAGAACCCGACTGTCCAGCGCCACCACGGAGGAGATAATAGAAGTCTCGGATTCCGACGATCGTAGCACGCCCCTGTGGAGGGAGGTAACACCCCGGCCAGAGACGCCACCTCCATCATACCAGGAACTGTTCGGGCCAGGCCCCTACGACAGCCCCCGCACCATGGCCAAGAAACACCTGCCAGCAGCAACTGCACCACAGCCGAGCCACAACACCCAGCGACTCAGCGACGTGCTGCTCCGAGATGGCCCCAGCACATCAAGCCAAGCAGCCAGGGCACGGGCAACTGCACCACAGCCGAGCCACAACACCCAGCGACCCAGCGACGAGCAGCTCCGAGATGGCCCCAGCACATCCAGCCAAGCAGCCAGGGCACGGGCAACTACACCACAGCCGAGCCACAACAACACCCGGCGACTCAGCGGTGAGCTGCTCCGAGATGGCCCCAGCACATACAGCCAAGCCGCCAGGGCACGGTCAATTGCACCACAGCCGAGCCACAACAACCCCCGGCGATCCAGCGACGAGCAGCTCCGAGATGGCCCCAGCACATCCAACCAAGCAGCCAGGGCACGGGCAACTACACCACAGCCGAGCCACAACAACACCCGGCGACTCAGCGACGAACTGCTACTAGATGGCCCCAGCACATCCAGCCAAGCAGCCAGGGCACGGGCAGCCATACACCAGTGGAACCACGACAACAACCGGGCACCCAGCAGCAACACCGGCTTCGCGCAACCGCAGCCAGCAGCAAAGAGGAGACGCCGACCCAATGGAAACAGGGCCAGGATCAGCCGGCAACGACTGGAGGCAGGTCCTCAAAACAGGGAGGAGATCCCATGCGGAGCGGTCCGAGAGGTTGAACACACGGGACGCCCTAACCAACGACGCCGAGCCGCACGATCAACGGGAAGTTCCTCCACGGACAGCTCCCCTGAGCCGACACCGAGATCCGGACCCGTGGAACGGCTAAGACCCTCCATGGTAGTGGCCCCGGCCCAGTGGCGAGTGGAGACGGCCGGAAGGGAAATCCCAGTAACCCTACGCACCTGGATAGAGGGAGAGCTGGGATTACCGAGAAACAGGGATATACGACGCCAGGAGAAGATCGACGGCAGGCCGTACAGAGTCCATCTCTCCAGGAGTGGGAGCGTCACCGTCTTTTCACCCACCCCAAAGTAAAGGGGGGGTGTGAAGACTCACATTTTTGACCGTCACATTTTTTTACGTTTCTTATATGTATATAGTTAGAATTAAGTAGTTTAAGTTCATACTCAATAGTTTTTAAGCGTATATACAGCAGTAGTTTTAAGAGACAAAACTTGAAGTAAATAAGTGGCAACCCAAAACTATCGAATAAGTTAGGAGAATAGTTGAATTTCCCGCCGAAGCCAGGACACCAACCACGATCACGCCATGGAAAAATACTAAGAAGAAATCCCCGATAAAATCCCACAGGGGAGGTTTCTTGGCAACGAGACCAACAGCCACACTAACTTCCGGGACTTGAAATTTTGTGCGCGGCGAGAAAAGTTCGGAGTTTTGGAGAACAGCGGAGAAAACGACGAAGACAACACCAAGTCCAAGATTTAACCGACACGTGGCCAGCAAGTGGAAACAAGCGAGCAACAAGACAGAAACACTGGCTTCGGCAAGCAGGGTGAGCATAAAGAGTGCGACAGGGACAGCTAGGGATTAGAAAGGAAAAATCCAGAAAATAAATGTAAAGTAACTAATCAAAGTGTTAGAATTATTGGTACAAGTGTCAAGCCCCGATCGTGCCGTCTGCGAGTATTCCGGGCATGTGCGCAGTAGTTTTCTCGACAGGATTAGTCGCGCCGGTGCCGTCTGCGAGTATTCCGGGCATTTGCGCAGTAGTTAGGGCTGGCTGTAATTCCTCCGATTTTGCTGTCTGCGAGTATTCCGGGCATTTTCGTAGTAGGAATGGCGTGCCAGAAATAGCCGCGACAGTGCTGTCTGCGAGTATTCCGGGCATTTGCGCAGTAGTTAGGACTGGTCGTAATTCCTCCGATATTGCCGTCTGCGAGTATTCCGGGCATTTTCGTAGTAGGAATTGCGTGCCAGAAATAGCCGCGACAGTGCCGTCTGCGAGTATTCCGGGCATTTGCGCAGTAGTTAGGGCTAGTCGTAATTCCTCCGATATTGCCGTCTGCGAGAATTCCGGGCATTTTCGTAGTAGGAATTGCGTGCCAGAAATAGCCGCGACAGTGCCGTCTGCGAGTATTCCGGGCATTTGCGCAGTATTCAGGGCTGGTCGTAATACCTCCGATTCTGCCGTCTGCGAGTATTCCGGGCATTTTCGTAGTAGGATTTACGTGCCAGAAGTAGCCGCGACAGTGCCGTCTGTGAGTATTCCGGGCATTTGCGCAGTAGTTAGGGCTGGTCGTAATACCTCCGATTTTGCTGTCTGCGAGTATTCCGGGCATTTTCGTAGTAGGACTTGCGCGCCAGAAGTAGCCGCGACAGTGCCGTCTGCGAGTATTCCGGGCATTTGCGCAGTAGTTAGGGCTGGTCGTAATACCTCCGATTCTGCCGTCTGCGAGTATTCCGGGCATTTTCGTAGTAGGATTTGCGCGCCAGAAGTAGCCGCGACAGTGCCGTCTGCGAGTATTCCGGGCATTTGCGCAGTAGTTAGGGCTGGTCGTAATACCTCCGATTTTGCTGTCTGTGAGTATTACAGGCATTTTCGTAGTAGGATTTGCGTGCCAGAAGTAGCCGCGACAGTGCCGTCTGCGAGTATTCCGGGCATTTGTGCAGTAGTCAGGGCTGCCAGTGTTACCTCCGATTTTGCTGTCTGTGAGTATTCCGGGCATTTTCGTAGTAGGTTTCGCTGGTCAGAATTAGCTGCGACAGTGCCGTCGGCGAGTATTCCGGGCCAGTGACAATATTTGTGTCCACCAGTGTTACCTCCGTTAATGCCGACCGTGAGCACTCCGGGCATTTTCGTAGAAGGATTTCTGGGCAGGATTGGCCGCGACAGCGCCGGCCGTGAGTATTTCGGGCACACGCATAAAGTTTGTACCACCAGGGCTGGCTACGATGGTGCCAGAGCGTAACCATACATAGGCATTATAGATTCTCATATTCATATATATTTCCCCCCATAAGCGTCCGTCGCGGCATAGCCAACGGTACGCGACTCGGTGACCCGAGTAAGAGTTTTCCCCAAATATAATATTATGAAACCCCCCTCAACTGTCTCAAAGATAAATAAATTTATCTGATGAGGACTCTGGGCGGACTGAGACGCCGACCCCAGCAAAACGCATCCTTACAACATGTAAATACTTTTTTTAAAAATTGGAAAAAAATTAGAAAAAAAATTTTGCTGTGTTGCTGACAGCCTCAATGACATTTATAATAAACATTTAAACAAAAAAAAATTTTTACCTAATTTTTTGTTGGCCTATCTTCCCAGAACTGCCTTCATGCCGTCCAAGGTTTTAGTCATATAAAACTGGATCCGAGCAAAAGTAAAATTTTTTCCAAAGCAAACATTCACTTTTGATACATACTGAATCCAAAAATAATTTTTTTTTTGAAAAAAAAAAAATTTGGGCACTAGAGGGTTAAGTTCTCAAACAAGCCAGGAATAAAATCATGATGTGCTGTGGTAAGAAGTGTATCAGTGGAAAGATCTTTGGACCAAATAGCCCCTGGGGTGTTAAAATCAACAAGAACTACTAAGTGGCCCCTATCCGAAAGTCTTTTGGAAATCAACTGTATAGCGGTTCCAATAAATAGGAAATTCCGACAATGGAGGAATAAAGGAACATGTAACAAAAATGGAACTACCATTAACTGATAGCTTCACTCAAAAGAATTCAACATCGTTGCATTCCTCGAAAATTATTATTTCGGACGTAAGAGTGAAGTCGGACGCTATAAGGACACTTCCCCCACGTCTGATGGCCGATCTAGCCGGTATACTGTGAACACACCTGAAAAACTTCGGAGCTCAGAATCTCCGGCTTTAATCAGGTTTCTGTGAACACAATAGCTTCGAAAGCAAATTTGACACTATCAGAATACAATTTAGGAAGCTTACTAAGTAAGCCTCTTGCATTGTGATGGGAGATACCAAGGAAGTTGGTAC